TTACTAGTTTAAATCTGAGTAATGAGGTGTAAAAATGTAATTTCTCTGCCTTTCATCTCCCTTTCTGAAATGGAAACGTTAGTTCTAAATAAATTGTTTTGACAAAAGTATGTGTACTGCCTAATTGGTCTGAGCTCTCGCTACTGCAGTCAGCTGATTATTGGAAATACTAGAAATAAGAACCATCTCTGTGCAGAGCTACAGTCTCAACCTGACGATGTTTACTTTCCTGCATTTGCTACATGAAAGTAAACTTTTTCATGAGATTTTTCCACAGGAGTGACAATCAAATATATAAAAAAAATGTTTAAAAAGTTCACTGGGAGTGGGTTTACTGTTCTCACTATTGCTATTGTCTACCGAGAGTAAAACTGTCCTCAGCGAAGTCTGTGGATTATATTGGATATTATTATTCAATTAATCAAGGTGGGGACAGAAGCTGAATATATGGTAGAAACTAAGTGATAAGCAGGAGAATAGGTTGTTTTTGTGATTTGGATGAACTAACCCTTAAGGAGAAAAAGAATTGAAAGGAATAGCACAAAGGCTAGAGACAATGGCAAACCGTCTGGTTCTCACTGGTTGGGGAAAGTGAAGGTACCCCCAATAAGGTTCCCTTGGTACCCTTAACCCCAGCTGCTCTGATGGAGCTGCTCAGTGGGCAGCAGATCAGACTGTGGTTGTATTGGGAAGCTTCCAGAAGTGAATGTGTAACTGTGTGAATTGGATCAAGGCGTTCCTGAAAAAGAGAGCATTACTCTCAGTCAAACCCCCTGACTAAATAAAAGAGAAGAAATGCTCCTCTAAAGCTCACTAATTAACACGTTACATCTTGTTTGTTTACACTGTACAAAAACTAAAGTGAAAAACAAACCTTTTCCGTGTTAAGAGAGAGTTATGTGCTGTAGTGTCAGCAGTTACCCCAACAACCAGTAGAGACTTTAGGAAGTTAATGCTTCCACCTGAGAAAAAGTGTGGAATATAACATTCCTGTGAAACCACATATTCTTATTTTTACACTAAAGTGTTGGTACAGATTAAAGAAAGAAACGTGTTAATCAGTGTTTCTTTTTTTTCTCTCTTTATCTATAAAAAGGGACATTTCACTGAGTAAAACTTCTGATCACATTCTCAGTTACATTCACACCTGGAAACTGCGCAGTACAACCACAGTCAGATCTGCTGCCACTGAGCAGCAGATATATATAGAATTTGTATAGGATACATAGTTAATATATAACCTGCAGCGTGTCATACAACTCTCTGCAACAAAGTAAATACGTTTATTTTATATATGGTCACATGACACACGGTAATAAATGTTTTTGTGGATATTTAATACAGCAGGGGTTTTACCTACAGCAAGTGTGTGTATGTGTGTGTGTGTGTGTGTGTGTGTGTGTGTGAGAGAGTGTGAAATTGTCCGTGCGCCTACCAATCATGCCGTTAACGGTGCCGAAGAGCACGGAGCCCTGGGTGGGCGTGGAGCTCTCGCCCAGGTTCTGCAGCACCAGCGAGCCGTGGCAGAAGACATTGACAAACTCCCCGAGGTGAAAGACCCCCACCTCCTGCAGGTGCTGGCGCTCCTCGTCAGTGGTGGCCGCACTGACCGTAAGAAGGATGGTGGGAGAGAAATAAATGGGGAAGAGGAAAGGATTACAAACAATGGGACATAGAGGGGACGAGACAGGAGCAAAGAGAGTGAGGAGAGGTCAAATCAAAGAGTAAAAACAAAGTGAAAAAGATGTCAAAGGCAAAGTAAGAAATGTTTGAGGGAATTATTGATTGATTAAGCAAAAGAAAAACAAGCCGGGCAGAGATATCAGAAGGGTTGGAAAAGGTCAGAGAGCGATAGAGAGGTAATAGAAAAATGGGTGAGGTAAAGTGGAGAAACCAACAGGAAGAGAGATGTGATACAAAAATAAAGGTCAAAAGCATTGAGCGGTCCCACCTGATGTATTAGGTGCATAATAAGCAGTGGCGTAAATGTAACACACTCACTTTCAGACCAGATCTTTTCTCCTTTTCCATGAAATCAACACTTGTCTAATAGAAAATGACTAAAGAGGGAAATGCAGCCGAGCGGCTAAAAGCTGGCAGAGATGACTCATAATTCCAGAAACAAATGCAAAGACAATGCTGTTAGAGCACATTCGTATCAATAAAGCTGCTCTAAAAAAGTATCATGGGACTCTGTAGAAAGAGCAGCCTCCTAATGACATAACGGTGATTTCAGCGGATAAATATCAGAGGTGATTTAGAAACTTTTTGTCAGTTTGGCTATAGATGTGCAGCTCAGGGGATTTTAATGATTACAGAAAAGGTTGAAATTCATGTGCATAAAATCTCACTGCACTTCAGCATTTATATACAATAAGATTTTATGTTTCCCTCACCTGTCCTTCTGGCAGACAAATAGATTGAAGGCGTTCTCTGCCCCCAAGAAGTTGTCATCGTCCAGGATTTCCACTGCACTCATCCAGTTAGGATTGAAGTCACGTGCAATCTAACCGGAGAAAACAAAACAAAAAAAACAACACATGTGTTGGAGCAGTAAACACAGAAGTGTTTCAAGGGTCAGGGTAAATACTGTATTATCCATGAGCAAGGAAGGTGCTGGCTCCAAACAACAGCTGGAATTCAAACAAACAGTCAACATGTTTCAGTAGTACAATGGCAATATACTTTTTAAATACCATAGAAGGAATGTCTTCAATGGTATTTTAAAAACTCCAAAAATGTCAGGAACATCTGTTCCATCTGTGTACGCTACCTGCAGCCTGTAAACTGTCAGCATCGTGATCAGATGCTCGTCCAAAGACTGTTTTATGAAGAAAAAGAAGCACCACCCTCACGGATTGTGATTATATTTGAGTCTGAACTCCCATGTTATTGTCTAGCTTAATGCTTCAGAAGACAATTTGTTGGTGAAGTACTGAATGCCAGACAGCAATCAGAATCTGTTCTTTAAAGGAATCGTTCAACATTTTGGAGATACTTTGTTTCTGAGAATCACATGAGGAGATAAATACCACTCGAAGGAAAAGGACACGCTGCCCACACATTAAAATTTGCAAGCTCAGAAGTTTTTATCAACACAACATTTTAATCTCCATCGGGCAAACATCCATGTAAATAAAAAACAGGCTACAGACAAAAACATTACTCCTGCTCCACATGTACATATATTGAACCTTTCGGATGTGCACACTATCCACCTTTTCTGCTTTTAAGTTCGATACCACTGTCATGTGTGCATGTTAACTACAAAGCTGGGGCCAAGAGACAATCACCTTAGCTTAGCATGAAGTAAAATTTGTATTGTTTTTCCAATAGTTACAAATTCCTACTTTCTTAAAATGTCAAGGTATTCTGAGGTGCGTTCTGTTTCTCAATAAATTCAAGTCCTTTTTTCAGGTCTCTCTCAGCACAGCACGACAGCATGCATTCAACAGTGTGTGTGACTCAACACCAAATTTCTTCATATTTCTACCACGAATCAATTTGAACACACCGTTCATCAAAAGGCTTGGAGGTATATGTGCTACAATGCTTTGTAGAGAGATAAAAAGGAACATTTATTCACCAAAGAGAAGTTAAAACATGTAATTATGGACCAACCAAATATTTGTTTGATGTGTGATGGCATCCGAGGATGTAGAAAATAAAAAACTACCACATATTTTGAAAACCAGCAACTCTGACTTGTGATTTCATTGATCCTTCTGGTATAGCAACCACACACATCGCCTTTTGAGTTCCTGTGTTATTTTCTCAAAATCCTCTTCACATCTCACCTCTTCAAAGTTGCCCTCCATGGGTTTGTATGCCAGCAGCAGGACGGACCTCATCAGGTCTCCTACCAGGATGAAATCTCCTTTGGTCTTCAGGTAAAGGGCCATGATATTGTTGTAGTGGTTACACTCGGTCCTTAGTTCCTTCTCAGCCGTCCACTCGTACAGACGGACCTGAAACAAACAGTCAACGTGAGTAATTGTTTGTTGTCATACAAGCTGCCAAAGGTAGAGGGACCGGCAATTAGCTTTGTGTTTGATAAACTGGCTGACACTTTAGTTCCGCGTTGCTATCACTCTGGATAAGATGAGCCTCAGTGAGTGTGAGGTTGAAGTACTGATTAGCAGTCTGAGTTATCTGCTGCCACTTTGCATGAACAGTTAACGGCTAATTACACTGACCGTTTCACACTGTCTGCACTTTGTAACAATTGTTAAAAATGGTTGTCGGGTGAGTGAGTGATAGAGGTGCGTCTCTGGATCTAATTGCTACTCACTTAATGCCAGAATTATGTTGAGAACATCTCCAAAAAGGTACCATGGCATAAAAAATTTGGAGATTCCAGACTTAGAGCTAAGTAATGTTGAAATAATGGCATCGATAAATGTGCTTTTAAGCATATAAAAAATGTAGAAAGAAATGTACCTGCGACTTGATCTTAACTTAAGAAGCTCAACTGGTATTTGATACCAGTTGCAAGAATATATATTGCTTGTATGCTTGATTGATTTCGCTCAAATCCAGATCTCTCCAATAAAATAAGTCCAATTAAATCACATTTAGTAGTCACCTTTTTGTTGTCAAAATGTCAACATGTTTTTAAATGTATTGTTAATATTTTTTTTAATTATTAAACGGGTAATATCAGTACGCTCCTTTTTGTCTCAGCCAGCTGGGAGCGCTGTATCAAAGTAAGGTCTCCATCTATGTAGAAACATACAGTTTAATTAATGCAGAACTAAGAGGCACTACGTTTTTTCTCAAAGGAGAACAAAGAGCATGTGATTTATTGGAGATATATGCAAGCTATAGCAGACAGAAAAATGATTTATATTTTGTATTGGCAAAGACCAAAGGAAGTTATTGTGCCCAGTAAAGAAATAGTCCTGCATAACTCTATATAAAACCACAACTGATTTTGTTTTACTTAGCTTTGAATAGGAAATTAGCCGTTTGCTGGCTGTTGATTCAAACTAATTATATTCCTGCAAATTATGCTGGAAAATACATTTTCGTGTAAAACTAATTTGTCTGTTTCTTCTTCAGTTAGGCAATTTTCTTCATTTCCAGAGAAAACACCCCTCAGATGAAGGGATACTGACATAAATGTGAAGTTTTTGCAAGTGACAGTGATGAAGAGTCCAACATTTTCAGCCAAGAAAATGTCAAAGGAAAGAGAGAACAATGCATCAGTGTGCTGTGTCCAGTTGATGAAATTATTAGAAAGGTAATGTAAAAAGGCATTTCACAAGCAACTTATGTCAGATATTGTCACTATGTTGTATTATGTTCTACTGAGGCTGCTCTCAAAAGGGAAAATTGATATTACATCTATTATGGATTAGTGCTTAATGATTGTTTAACTTTGGCGCATAATAGTGACTTTAGAAAAAAACATGTACCGGTACTCTTTGATTCAGATAAGCTGAAAACAAATGAAGTGACTGATAAATGTTTTCTGTGATTGAACTTTCAATAAATTTTCAAATTCAATAAAGAAAATGTTAAGGAAAGTAAATGGTAGGAAGTGAGTTATTGTACTGCGGGATGACTTCCAGAAATCTGAAACTCATGACTGTTTGATTCTCGATATCTTAAAATAAAGCTTCCTTTTCAAGCTTTTAATCCTTTTAATCTATCTATAGCTCAGTGTGGATGAGCATGGTATTACAGGACAATAGGGGGGAAGCTGTGTCTTTCACACTCTATGTCGAGTGATTTCACACAGCAATCCATATGGGATAAATCTATTTACATATTGAACTTTAAAATGACTGAAGAAGCACTTTTCTTCCTGAACAGATCATAGGCTTCTTAAACAATCAAAGAAAGGAAAGTTAAAACGCACAAGTCATCCAGAGGTTGAAGTGAGGTATTCAAGTGAACATGGTGAAATAACAGAAAATAAAGGAATAAATGTCTGGATTCTGGTGAAAATTACATCATCTGTAGTTAAAAAAAGAACCTAATCCATTCCAGACTGTGATATTGAACCTCAATACTTCAATATAAACATGGCATAAAATTCTGGCTCAGATTCTTGGTCTTATTTTCCTCACAACCTTTAATCTTTTATTTTAAGTTCTTGTACAACTGTGTCAAAACCATATTAAGAACTGATGAACTGAAAAGGTGTATTTTGGTAAACGTAAAAAAGGGACTGTACTGATAAAAGTATTGAAAATGCTTAAACTTTCCATTTAACAGTAACATATTCTCACATTATCTGTGAGGGAAAATCCAGTTTGTCTTCATTTTAGAGTGAAACAACAATTTGAGTGATACTGGGCAAGTGTAGAGTCTGGCCAGTTATTTGTATCAACCGCCAGTGTAAACACAATCACATTACAACTGACAGTTTTCTTGACATATGGGCAGAAAACAGAAGCAGTATTGAGAGATTCTGGATTTAATCCTTGGACCAGATGGTAAATTATGATGTGGAAAGTCAATAAGCAACTGCTATAGAGGTGTACTTGAAAGAGGCACTTGGTCAGCACTTTCCCAAGGGCTGAGACTAAAGATTTTAAATGGTGAGTTTGAGAGAAAAACTGACACTATTTCAATGTGCACCATGAAGCATTCAAGCTACATTTATGTTCAAGTTTTCAAAACATACTGTACATGGAACTTAATTGCAGTTGGAAAAAGTCAAGGGCTTTGTATGTCTTGCTAAAAAAGCTCAAGCACCACTTACTGTGCTATTGATGCTGGCCAGCAGTTTGCCATTGAACTCCACCATAGAATAGACAGCTCCTTTCACCTCCTTCTCAGCCACTGTTTGCAGCTTACCTGCAGGAAAGAGCACTATGTCTGTGAGTCTGTCTAAGTTAACATTCAAAGTGTTACAAGCTCAATGTCAAGCTAAACTAGCACCTACAAGATCTTAGTGAGGCAGAGGATAGCGTACCGCTCGATAACTGTGAGCAGAAAGCGAAAAGGAGAAGGTGAGGCATTCAGAATAATGATGAAGGTAGAACGAGAAGCTAAAAGGAGGATAAATGAAAGGCAAGCAGTGCACCTTTAGAAGGACAGAGTATGAAAGAAAATGAGGGGAATCAGTAGTTGTGAGAGGAGAAAAGTCTGATAAGAAGTGATAAGAAAATGATTAAGTGAGAAGGGAAACAAGAGCATGGTAGGACAAAGTGTCCATGAATGAGAAAACAGGACAGAGGGCGGGAAGGAGAAAATGAAACTGGGTGAAGGATAGGGAGAGCAAAGCAAAATTAGCTGGATGAGAAGACAAACAGGATAAGGTTGAGGGACAGACAACAAAGTACATTTTGGTTTGCTGAAAACAGAGAAAGCTGAAGAAAAGCCTGGCTACTGACCGTCAGTGTAGTGGAAGACGATGATTCGTCCCTGCTTGGGCTCAGCCTCCTCTGGGTACACCATGGCGGTGCCGACAATAAAATACACTGACGGGTCTTTTCCCAGACGACATGACACCATGCTAAGGGCGTACTCACTGGGGAGGAACTGATGGGCATGGAGAACTGATAAAGAAATAAAACACACATACCTTAGTAAGAGAGGGAGTAAGCAGCATAATACATTTTCTACATTTATCTGTTCTTCTCTATTCAGTTTTAAAGGACAATTCTGGTTTATTACGACAACAAAATCTGGCAGGGAAAACATTAAACAAGGGGAAACGTAATACACAGACGGGAATTTTTCTTGCTGCATTAGATGTCTTTTTAGCGATAGTTGCCACGTTCCCAGATCAAGCCAGTTACACTGTGGAAATTATGTTATGAATGGAAATTGTGAATATAACACATCCGTGGTACATAGGTGTTTTCAGTTACTGTATTTTGCCCAATTAAATCTTAAGTCATTACATACTTTTTTATCTCCCTCATTCTACTGTTAGTTTTATTGGATACACGTTTCATTTTTATCTCCAGCATTTGGACCTAACCTACACAGTGTATGTGTATAATGCATCAATGAAAACATATTTGACACATCCAATGATGATTATACAGTGGTGTGTGACTGCAACAGCAACATTCATTGTAGACTAACCTTATTAGACCTAACTAGTTTCCAGTGGTGTAAAGCAGTAACTGAAAAACTGATGAGACTATGTATATGAACCCTGCATTTCTTTAAAAAATAAAATAAAATAAAAAACAGGGTACCACTGAAGTTAAATGAACAATCATCTACAGTGTAATGCACAGTATATACACTACACTACTGCATAAGAACGTCTTCACGTCTGATTGATGAAAATCTAAATGAGCAGTTATCTGATAAATTGGAGCCAGCTGTGGACACAACGTGCTGAACCAGTTCCTTCTTTACATATCATTAACATATAACATACCCTAATTTATGCGGGCCGGGTAACTCTTGGATTTTTAAAAGGAAGGCTTGGTGCAGTGAAAATCTGCATTGCAAAAGAGACTAGAGCAAAATCCTGCCACATTCAGTGGGCTTCACCATGGAAATGAGCTGCATGACGTCCGACGTGTTCAATCATTCAGTTACTCTGTAAAGAGCCTGTTTGAGTTTAGATTTTGAGGAATATTCAGTATTTTATGGAGCATCTTCATTAAGTATAAACAATAACATAACAAATATTCAAAATGTACACAACCTAAATTGAGGACAATGAAACAAATAAATACAAGTTTGATGCGTAAAAATAGGTGTGCATCAATTTTAAGATCAGATATAAGCATAGAGGTTGCTGAATGAGTGCTGAGACCAGACTGTGGATAGAGTTTTCTGCATTAAGTTGGTTACTCTAAGAGCTGAGCGCAATATTTTACCATCAGAAGCTCCATATGAAAGCGCCAGGTCTGTGAGATCAAATGGAAATGTACATTCAGCTTTCTCACCTTCAAAGGTGTGCTGATCCACCACTAGCAGACTGTGAACCTCTACCTCTTCACCGAAGGAGGTCTCGTGGGGAGAGGTGCTGCTGGGGAAGAGCTTGCTGGAGCTCACACTGCTGGAGAGAGCCTGAAAGAATGCAGATTTATGAGACAGGACAGGAAGAGAGGTAGAGACAAAGAGAAACCTAATAAAGGGTATAAAGCAATTTAAATCTCTATTTCTGCGTGAGCTCAACAACACAGTCGGCACCATCTGTAGCACCAGATGTGCAGCATTTAAAATCGGTTAAACATCTTTCTGGTCATCACATGTGAGAGGCTCTGGCTCTGCTTGTGTTTCCACAAAGTTGTGTGCTGCAGCAATAAATACAAACAAAAATAAAGTACACACCTGTCCCCTTGGGGAAGCTATAGAGCCAAGCTGAGTGGACACAACACATGCTGTCACTGTAAATCTGGCTGAAAGGACTTTTTGATTAGCTCTCCAAGCATAAATCTCTTTTCAATGTTGGTCCTACTATTCTTTCTTGGCAGCTGAAACCTCACTGTCAGTATTCTTCCACAACAAATCAAACGAAATATGATTATTTTTAATTTAACTTGAACTTAATTTGAACTCTCGCAACAGCTAAATTTAGTAAATGTAATAAATGGCTGTCTTTATTCACTGCACTCTCCACTTACTACCTACATGTCTCTGGATTAGTGCTGAAACAATAAAAACACAAAATACATGGTCAAATTTTTATTATAATTACACATTTTACAACAAATAATATTTTGCAGGGTCAGTTATAAGGGGGGTTGGTAACAGCTTCAATTATGAATTAAATTCTGAAGTTCTTAGACTATAATTATAAATGATCAAACTGAACTGAAAATTCTAGGGACACACTAAGGGACGAGACATTTGTTGTCCTGAAAATTTCCCAGTTAATGTGCTTAGTCAGCATGCATGGTTAGATAAGAGTACAAAACAAAGAAGCCCTTGGGTGTTTATTATCCAAACAGAACATAGAGCTACAGTACCTGTGTGCTCGCGCTGGGGCGAACGGCAGATGTGGTGCCGCTCACGTCCTGAATCTCCACCCTGCTGGACAAAACCCCAAAACACTGGGAAACCTCCTGGTAACAGATCCGCCTGGTGGGGTGTTAACCGAGCGAGAGAGAGAGACGAGAGAAAACAAATGGAAGACGCTAGTAAACATGAAAAAAACAAACAGGGGTAAACTGAACAAAAAAGATGCAGTGGGAGACTGCGTTCTGTTTTCTGATTGAATAACACAACAATCAACCTTTTAATAAGTTATTTAACAGCGCTGAGTCATGGTTGTCGCTTAAACTTTTGAGCTTAAAAAAGTGGGGACAGAAATTTATTCAGCTGAATTATAACAAAACAAACAGGAGAAAAGTCGCTTGAATCAGAGCAAACAGGCAAAGTCACTGCAAACAATAGGAACAAGCAGCATATTTGTACACACGATGGGCGGGCCTGAAATGTTCATTTGAAGGTCAATTCTAACTCAGTGTTTGAGCAGGGGGACTGACCTGGGAGACTCATAGAGGGGAACCGTGCGAATGTGGAGTTTCTGAATCTCGTCAATGGTACCGATGGTCAGAGTGCTGTTGTTGGCCAGAGCCAAGCTGTAAAAAAACAAGATGCATCAGCATTAGTAAAGGGACACAAATAAGTTAAACGTATACAATCCGAAAGACCTCTATGTAAAAATTCGGGATGTCCCAATCCGATCTCAACAATCACCCGATCAGGGCAGTTTGTAACTATGACAGTTTTGAGAGGGATGTGATTTCCCCCCATGCTTCTTGAATGTGTGACACAGCCTTCCCTTTTAAATACTGATTGGTCTGTTACTTGTTTTGTACTGTTGAACAGATATTGACTGGAACAAAAAAACAAAGTTTGTTTGTGTGCACAGAGGAAGAAAACATAAAACAACACAAATTTTCTGATATAATGCCTGAGCAGTAAAGGTTCTGCTGCTGACCTGTCAGGATAACCCTCAGAGTTGAGTGGGCACATATAATTGACCTCCTTGAGGTTGACGTTAGAGAAGACCAGCTTGTGGTTTGAGGAGTAGATCACGGTGGGTCGGTCAGAGCAGGCGAAGACGTTAGAAGTGGACAGCGATCTGAAGGTCCTGAGCACAGTGGGCTGTGTTCCAAGGGTGACTTTCTTCCGCTCACTCAGGGCGCCTGAGGGGAGGAAATAAGATCGAAACACAAGTTTAACTCCAGTTTGAAAGGTGGGTGTACTAATCATTGTTTGGGTCAAAAGAGCCACTTGCTAACTGCCTTTAGCCTAGAAAGTTTGTCCTTGTGTGCAAATTACTCTCTTTTTTAATGATTTTCAAACCTGAATGGTTGGATGTGCCCTCGAGCCCCAGAGCCCTCTGTCTCTACTCACTTATAAGTTATTATTTCTAAGTTTTTCCTTAAATTTCTGTACAACAATTTTTTGCTTAACAGTAGAATATATAGTTTGCATCGGCTTTGGCTTTTGATGCCCTCGTAATTTGTCAATTCTGACCACCAAACACATTTTATGACCATGGGCAGATCAGACTAAAGCAAAACAATGAGCACATTTATATGCAAACTACTATCCTGGTTGAGAGTCTTATTTTGTTGATTAAATTCAGAACAAGATGTTTACAAGGAACATAGAAAAACCTGATTCATCAAATCACTGTGTACATGATTCTAACACCCAGGTTTCTGATCACTGTCTGCAGCGGTTTCTTTGACTGCCTGGAGTGTTTAGCTAGTGTAGTTAGTCGATTGATCAGCATCAATCATCAAAAAACATACAATTAAGCTGCAAGCTATTTTGATAATCTATTAACCACTTCAGCTATTTTTAATTATTCTTGGGTTCCAGCTTATCAAATGTGGGGATTTGCAGTTTTTCTTTGTGTTATGTGATAACAAATTGATTATGTGTTAGTTTTAGACTGTTGGTACGACAGAACAGGCAATCTGAAAGTGTCACCTCCTGCATTAGGGAATTGTGATGAACATTTTTGGGACCAAACAATTCATCAAGAAAAAAATACTGCAATTGTGTGCTGAAATTTATTTTTTTAAATCAAAAGGCAAAAAAGCTGCTTCTTTAGTCTTAATTTAAACATTTTAATAGGGTCAGCTTTTCTGGTGGGTAATGAGAGAGAATTCCAATTCCTTAATACTAATTTCCTCTTTACTCTTCAAATATACAAGTAGTAGAAAATAATCATTTAAAAAATGCTGGAACATATTGCCTCATAAATAAGATGTTTCCCGTTCATGCAGCAATTTAAAAGTCAAAAGAGAGACCTTAAAGCCAGCTTTAGCTAGAACAGAAAGCAATTCAATAATGCAGTAATCAAAGGGCTATTCCACGTCCATAAAAACTGTTTCACAATGTTTTCAGTGGCTCTTAATTTATTTTTATTACATGAAATGACATCACCTGGGTAACTTGATAACTCCAATCCCAAGACTAGGTGATGTCATTTCAGTGACCCTCATCACAAGCTGGGGTTGTGGAGTTTAAAAGCTTTGAGCATTCAGCATGCAGGAGCGTCTAACTAAACCACTACTGAGCTGTATAATAGAAAGTGTAGGATTAAGTGTTTTTGGAGCTTGACCCATACTTAAATAATACGTCAGGATATATTGACCTCTGCCGCTTCCATTTTGACCAGCAATACTAAATAATAAAAAAATAAATAAAAATAATACGTTTTGTTGAGCAACGCTACCAATGAACCTACAAAGAATTATTACCTGAATCTGCCCCCCGCCCTCAGCTTCACGGAGCCTAAAAGTTCCTCTATAACTGCTGGATGTGTAAATAAGCAACTGTTTGCTAACAAGTTTGCCATATCAACTTGAAAAGGTGATGACTCGTCAATGCTGTGTTCACAATTTGTTTCCACTGCCCCCAAGTGGCTGCAGATATCAGTTACTGCAGCTTTAAAGTGCCCCGAATTGGCTACATCAAAAAGAAAAACATAAAATAAAGAGACGCTTGGCCACTACCTACTTTAAGTAAATAGGCGGGCTTTAAAACAAGTGTTTAAGTGTCTAAATCCATATAAAAACAGCTATGATCAAAATGATATATTTTGGTCAGTAAAAGTTACTCCTGGTAGCTTTGACCACACTTGACAAGTTCCTTTGATGGACTTTCTGTCTATGAAATAACAGCATTTGATTATATAATTGAATTATTTTTATAGTCAGATAGCAGGCTTTCAACCAAACTCACTGCATTGATTTCTTCAGGCTGCAAAGTTTCTCCACTATTGCATCCAAATATATTGCTGGCAGTTATTCAATTCTCCATGAAATAATATTCTAAAAATGAAAATGTTTTCAGACATCTGCCCTTGGCCTTGCCTGGAGGCCCTTATCAGTCTGAGAAGTTTGAGAAGCTATTTGGAAAAGTGGTGTAGGGATGGTTGTGTGAATGACCTACCAGTCTGCAGGTCCAGACCAAAGTAGAAGAGCGCTCCGTCTCCCAATGCACACAGCAAGTAGTAGCTGCCTTCAAAGGTGGTCATTAGGATTGAGCGCGGGATGATCTCTGAGGACACAGACAGTAAAATGATTTATATTTCCTGTACTCTGGAGTCACAGGTTCATAGATGTACACCAAAGTGATAAATGTCTGCAAAAATGTCTTGTCAGAAAAATCAATAAGGGTTATTGGCCAGACTGACTGGCAACTTTTTGAAAAAAACAAAAACATTCTAATGCTGCAGGGTAAATATGTCTTTTCCGTTTCCTATCCTTGTCTTCTCTAAGTGCAGGCCAATTATATCATTGGCTTTGATTAAATGCTTGCTGGCTCACTAAAGCGACAGTGTTAAAGTCTTTTATTTAGTCAATTATTTTAAATAAACAGGCCAAAATGTTAAAACACAAACACAGGGCTGTATAGAAAAGTTAATAGAAATTAAAAATATAAAATATAGCTTAACAAAACTAAAATAAATCACTGCAACTGTGCAGTGTGGGATTGTTGAAATTCTCTACTTCCAATGACATAGCTAACAGTATCAACAATTAGAGTAGCATATTAGCTTTTAATTTGAAGGTTTCCTGTTTATAACAGTCTGCACTCAGACTGTCCTTGTTAGGGGAGACAGCACAGTTTGCAGAGTTTGAGCATCGAGCAGCTGTCAATCAAACGCACTTTGAAAATAATGTGTGCCACTGTGGGACAGAGTGTGGAAATATTCTTCATGGATGAGGAATTCTAATTGGAAAGTAAGAGTCCTTCCTGTACCGGTTCACCATGTTATGAAACTTTGTCTCCAGTTGCTGCTCACTTTTTGATAAATTTAACCCAAAAAAAGTAGTCAAGTCCCCATATTATATCCCCATATATAACACAAGTTTAAAAACTTTTCAAGTGGCTAAATTGTGCACTAAATGCATTCGGGTTGGCAGCATAGTTAATGTTCAAGTGCTAAAAAATTTTACTTAATGGGAGATTCCATTTACATCCATTAAATTAAACTGGATATACAATCCATTTTAGCTAGTACATTATAGACCCATTCCTTGGACTTATTTATTGGACCTCTGAAAGGAATATTTTATATTAATAATATATAATATATAATTCTGCCTACTCCAATGGTTAAAAAAAAGGGTATTAATGTTCTTGTCTAATTCTAAGCAAGAAAGTGAAATGTTTATATTATATATTAATATTTTTACTGGATTTACTTTGTTTCTATTGGACCAGTGACACTACTGTATTACTATCATCCCATTGCTGAATCCGTCTTTCTCCCCAGCTTCAGCCATCTGACAGGAGGGGATCTCTATTTAAATGTCTTCCTCCAGTGCAACTACTTCTACCACTATTGGTTCATGGGAAGGTGGAATTGATTTTAAACAAAGAAACTAATTTTAGCTCATTTAATGACAAATTTATTTGTATTTACAACTTTGATTCAACAATGTGATTTTTTTTACTTTACCCTGTATGTTCCTCATGGATGTGAGGGCTGAACAATGTGAATTAAATATAGATAGTTTTGGTCGATGACCCAACAACATTCATAACAAACCCCTTGTGCATAAATGCAAAAATTACATATCCAAAAACACTTGAACTTAAATTTTTTTTATTAAAGTCATTATCTTTATATATTTGTTTAAAGGTAACTCTTTGAAATTTTCCTGGAATAAAAAAGAAAATCAAACTTTGTAGATGTGATACTAAAAACTAAATTCAGAGGCAAAAACGTGTAAAAATGTAAGTTTATGGGCTTTTATGTTTAGTTTAAAATGTAACTCTTTGGAAATTTTTGCACTCGTATTACTAAATAATCATTATCAAAGTGACACAGAGATTAAAATGATTCATGCAGACAGAGCTGTGACGCTTTGTGCTTTCAAACAACTTAGTCTGTCCTGGTTGAGTGAGGATTTAACTGTACGGCCAAGTAAGGTAACAAACCCTGCTGGCCTGTATTCAGGCTGTGGATTTGTTTCCCCTTCATGTGGGAAGAATTTATGGGCAGATTTTTCTTGCTTTCTGAGAGAGCCTGGGTTAGGTTAGGTAAGCCCACCCAGTCGTTGTATTTGCTATTGGGCTAAAGAAATTAACTTCACTTGATTTGACATTGTCTGCATCTACCTATCCCTCTCCACAAGCCAGTAACAGCTTTCCTTTTCTCACGTCAGTGCACCCTGCCTCTCTTTTCTCTCACCTCCGCCCAACATTTCCTTGTGCAGGGCTGTGAAGCAGGGCAGTTTGAGCACACGGGCTGAGATGTCGGTCCAGAGTCCCACAGCGCAGAGCGGTGACTCACCGCCACCCTCCCCCAGAGGTGTGATGTCCAGGCAGGCCACCTCGTGCTCCATCTCGGTGGTACTAAAAAAGGTGTAGAGGATGTGAGAAACACAGTAGCAAGCTGCCCTGCGCATTGTGTGAATGTGGACTGTGTGTGACAAAGTTCGACACATTTTACAATTTTTCTCAAGAGAAATGCAGATTGAGAAAGGTTTCATCTAGAGAGCTGAGCTGTGAGTTCACACTGGCTAAAGTTCCCAGACAACCATTCATTTTACATCTACATAATCAAAACTGGATGGATCACCAGGGACCAGTGTGCGGACAGGCAACGGGATTTCTGTCTCTAAGGTCAGTTGGCCAAGGCCAACTTGCTCTTTCTTGTTTAAGTTCTGTTGTGAATTTATTTCCTTAACAGCAGCTCCATCTGACAAATGTCAAAATGATTAGCAGTTGATCAGTCATTTCCCCTGCGCCTGTTCTCTACAAGCACTGCAGGAATATTAAACTTAGGAACAGTCTGTCTATTAGTCTTAAATTCTTAATACTTAAAAAATATTACTCAAAAGCTTTGACACAGAGCAACACATCAATCAAGCTAAGTTTAGCAGTTTGTGAGTGCCTATGCTTTTTTGGGATGAATTATATTTCCAGTGTCATTATTCTGAATTTAAATGTCTGGTTAACACTCGATATACAGTATTTCAGAGCTGTCTGACATGACAATACTGGAAGATATACATATACATTTGTCTTATTATATTATAGCTATCCTTTAATATCTCTGGTTGTAAAAGGCCACTGTAGAGAATGTTGCAAATCACGGACTAGGAACAATTCATGGCAATATATTGATTTTCACATCAATCTGATGAAGTATCTTCATTTGTCAAGTATTTAATTCACTGGATTAGACAAAAACAGGCATTCCTGTCTATTTATTTTAGACACAAACAGGTTCTGGACAGATCTCAACATCACAATATAAAGATTTCATATACTATAATAAAAGGACTTCATCTGTATTCCCCACCCCACTCTCTATCAGGCATTAAAAATAAGGTTTGAAGAAAGATTTAAATTGTTCGTTTGTTAATTAACAGGCCTAACTCCTGCATTGTAATAGAACAAGGCCACAAAATAATGCAAATGTAAGGATAATCACTGTATAGTGTGTTGAGCACTTACATTTTAATTTCAATACAGAAGGGCATTTCAGCCATGTAAACACCTTTAATCCAACTATGACTATCTAGTATTTACAGAATTCTGCAGCTCACACAAGAATCCAGCCGCTTATTGATGTAGACCAAACATTATTTCACAGCTCTTGTGAGACACTTCACTCTCCTTCATTGTTCCATCAACCACCGACTCTCAGGGCTGCAAACAAACACTTTGTGCTTCAAGGAGCCCTGGTGGCCATTTTTACAAGCTGTGTCTTTCTCTGAAAAAAAAAAACCCCAACACATTTTTGTGTATCCATGATTTCTTTTCCTTTTTTAAACTAGTGTAAAAAAAAAAATAGTGGCTCAAAGCAGTTTTATTGCAATACTGGCACAAAGACAGCCACAAGGGTAAACCGCAAGAGCAGCAGCATGACAGAAATATAATAAAAAGTAAGACTACAGTTCTAGTGCACCAGCCACTTCGGACTTAAAAATGAAATGCAAATCCCTCATCTCAAACTTTACCGCAGAGCAGGAGAGAAGATATTAAAATGAAGGTAAGATGTGCAGGATAATAAAAACACATAACTGAGTCACAGACAAAGTTGTTGAACTATTGGGAATACATTAAATTAATGTTTGATTAATTAAATGTTCATACAACAGTTCTGCTGGGTATTGAGTATGCAGTCATATGTAAGATTATTCCCTGCTATTGTTTCATATTAACTATTCAATTAAACTGCCATTCTATTAGTTAGACTAATCTGTTAACATAAGTAAGTTGGAGCACTATATCTTGATTGTTATTGTTTCCTGGCAAGGCATCAAGACTCTCTGCAGTCAACTTTCTTACCCAAAAGTTAAGTTAACTGACTAACAATGGCTATGTAACTTTCACACTAAAGCATCTTTATAACGATCACAGCCAGGGGATTTTTTTTTACTGTTAAGCTTTTTCTGAACTTGCAAGCTGACACAGTTTGTAGCTGTCTCACTATCAAACCTACAGACAGACATGGTGGACGTTAAAGGAATTGTTTGCCATTTTGGGAAATAGGCTTTTTCGCTTTCTTGCTGAGGGTTAGATAACAAGGTTGATATCGCCCTCACGTCTGTAGGGTAAATATGTAGCTAGAGCCAGCAGCCGGTTAGCTTAGCTTGGCACAAAGACTGGAAATTGCAGAGACAGGAAACGTGGCTCTGTCTGAAGGTAATAAGAAGGTAATCTGCCTACCAGCACCTCTCACTAATTAACACGTTATATCGTGTCGAATGAACAGAGCAACCCTAGCAGTTTCTTCTTCTTTGTACTAAGCTAAGCCAAGCAGCTGCTGGTGGTAGCTTCATTTTTCAGTACAGACATTAAAGTGGTTTCAAATTCTGATCTAACCCCCACCAAGAAAGTGTATTTCCACAAAATGTCAAACTATTTCTTTACAGCCCACAAATCTCTTTTTTAAAATATCTTACCAGGAAATCTCCAGATATCCTGAAGAAGAAGTCAGTAATATTGATATGATGTACTGTAGATATAAGGGTAACCGTATGATCCATGATTCAAAGTGCTATAGCATGGCCTGGAGCAGCTGTGTTAGTAGTATATAAAGTTATCATCAAGTCAAATATTGCCTGAAAATATCAGTAAACCAACAATGGGTCTATCCCCTTGTGTCTCTGTATATATGTCATACCTGATCTGCTTGAGCTCTCCTGCCAGGATCTGCAGGTAGTAGAGGGCCCGTCCCACGGCAAGCACCACTTGAGTGTGGTTGCAGGCAGCCACACTGATGTTCCTGCCCTGTGGCTCCTTCCATTCACTCACTAATGCCTTGCTTTCCTGGAGCACCAGGCGCACAGAGCCTGACGTGATCTGAAGGCACACACAGTTTTTCCTTTTTAAAATATTATTTTGCACAGTATTTCTGGGAAGTGACAGAAAGGATTATGTGGAGACTGGGAGCTAAAATATAAAGCAGTTTCAAAGCAAATCCCATTGCTTATATGTGGTTCTGTACCAGCACTGTTTTTGCACTTTTATGACTGAAAAGAAATTATGATTCATTGCTAAGAGACTTTTCTCCACAAATTTGTATTTTTGTAAATATAAATGTGATGAGACTGTGTGTCTGATGGTTGAGAGAAAATAAATCACTTTGCATTTAATCCTCTCCAGTTATTTTGTATTTTGAGAAAGTACCAGATCTTTGAGTGTTGACATAATGTTTAAGAACTATGAGGGCACTTACAGCTATCCATCAGGAAGAGAAGATAAAGATGAAGAATTTGAGCAGAAACATATTGAAGTCTACTGTGACATTTTGCTTACTAGAGACCATTGAAGGATTATAATGTATTAAAGGAAAACACAGCAGTTCCATCACAACACAAGTGTTAATGACATGATGATGACATGATGATGATGATGGCATTTGTTTGATCACATATATCACTTTTATGAAACATCAAAACAAGACATTGTGTTATTATTCCTGTGTTAAGACTGGGGATGTCCAGATCTGATCTCAACAATCGGTATCGGCGCAGATCAAAGCATTTTTTAACTAAACGCTATTTGCTATATTGAGCTTTATTGATACGACCCGATACTTTGTTTTACATCAGCTGTCACACAGCTGTCACACAGCTGTTTTTACTCACAAAGCTCAACTCTCTCGCTGTTTATTATCTCCACTCTGATCAACTCTGTGTGTGTGTGAGAGAGAGCAGGAGGAGAGAGCGGTAGAGATCTGTCACAACCACACTAAACACACCACTGCAAGTGCAACAAAAGTCCCGCGAACAAAAAGCCAATGTCCAATGAGAGTAATTAATGAATGTAATCCGTGCAAAAGATGTAGAGACAACAGAAATAAAGGCTCAGTAGAACACAGACAGTCCATTCAGGTAACTCAGGTAAAGGCAGAAGCATCAAACACTGGAGAGAGAAACTCCCTTCAGACAGCGATAAGATCAAAAGATTACAGAGGGGAAAAAAGCATTAAGGAACAGCTTCGATGTTTCCTAATGCAATTCAAAGCTATTCAACTGTCAAGCATTGGACTGATTTTAGTAACTTTGTACTTGAAGCATGCACTGTGCAACTGTATTATCTAAATAAATCAGATCGGGACTCAGGAACAGCAGATATTCAATATTAAATGACTCCGATCGGAGGAAAAATCCCTAGTTAAGACCTATTAATATTGTTATAAAAGTTAATTTGAATGCATTTGTATTGCATGTACCAAAGATGATGGTGAATACCTGGTAAAAGCCTTTCGGGTTAAGGAGAAACACATTTTAATATTGAAAATGTAATAATGTGATGGGGAGAGCCATTCAGCATTAAAGAAACAAGACAGAAAAGAGCCTCATTAACAGACTGCAGCAAGTACAAACAGTCAAACTATAAATGGAGGTGCACTGTTAGGGGGCTCACATTATACAGTGGTGTAATGAATTGTGAAACTACAGCATATATTCAATATAGAATCCTTAATGGAGTACCTGGAAGAAGATTATATTGTCCATTTTCTGCAGTCTGTTAACTGTTGCAGTGCAAATCACTGCACCGAAGAGACAAAATCAATTTAAATTTGACCTCTTGTTGTGAATGTAAGCGAGAACATCTTTTCTTCAGATACGTTTTATGTCAGAACACACTGTTGGGAAACAGCTGGTGTACAAACAAATGGGGAGGGTATTTTGTCAAACAAGAGTCCACAGTCACACTAACAGCTCTTCAGTGTGCTAACAAGCTCAAAATGAAAATGCTAACATGCAATTTATCAGGTTCAGCGTTAACCACATAGTGTTATAGTTTCTAATGTCAGCGTGCATGTAGTTAGATACTTTGTATGTAATGTAATGTATGTTTGTGTGTAGTTGGTACCCAAACAATTGGATATATACTTGGATATAAACTGCCAATGGCTAACTATTAAATTTGGTTACATTACGGTAGGCAAATGCTATGCTATGCTGGCATATAGGCACTACGATAATTGCTTTGGAGTGTTGATGGCCAAATGTTAATTCCAATATTCAGTAGTCTTTTAGCTATGGCATGGTCTCCAACTTCCCCTGAAAATAATATCAGGGTTTTTCTAGATGTTCAGCGTTGTTTAACAGGTGCTACTTTAAATGTTGCAATTTCATAGTTGTCTGAGCTTGGTTGCTGGAGACAGCAGTTTTTATTGCAGGGTTAATCGGAGCTGCAAAGCACACAGTCTATGTGTGGGACAGAGGACGGAAATAATGAGCAACAACAAGCTAAAAGCTAAAAAGACCTGCAGAGTCTGGCATTCATTCCTATTGGGTTTAGCACTATCTCCATTTATATGACTCTGTGTACCCTTTCATGTTACATGGAGTAATTTGATTCATTGTTAGTATCAAAAACATTACTGTTACTACTTTATGTGATTAAAGCAAAGTTAAAATGACTACAAACATAGGAAAATGTGCGCAGTCTGTGTTGCTTTCAGTCCATTAGTTCTAGTGTCCCTGACACTGTCAACTGCAGTGTCTTTTGTGATAAAACAAAGTAAATTTTTTTTTATCTCTACAGCTAGTGACTTCAATGCAGGTTTTAGCACAACTATCGTCTTTTACTTCTTATGCCAGAAATCCAGAGTCGTGTAAAAACAACGTAATGTAAAAATACAAACTCAGAGAGGCAAGAGAGTTAAAACATTTAAAACACAAGCAATGTTGTCATAACAACCTAAAGATTTACGGTTGAGGGTCTAAATGTTGGCAGAATTCCCAGCAGGTTTCATCCTTGTTTTAAAAAAGGAAGGCTAACACTTGAATTTAAATGTAAGTACAATATTCATCTTAACCAAATGTAAAATACATGGTCTTTTTGCGCCCTTCATATTCACAACTGCCCCTTTCAATCATGTATGATTCAGCTCCAGCAAAGTATATCTTATTAAATGGAGAAAGGCCACAGTTTAATAATTAATTTCTATAATTAATTTTGAATTTTGTGAAATTAGATGATATTTCTGCTTTCATCTGGGATGTACAAATACTTCAAGTCGGCTAATTCTAAGAGAGGACCAACTTACCAAAGCATGTTCTGATGGGCAATGACAGTGACGCCACAAGTACTTTATACATAGAACTATTTACGGATGTATGTGTGTGTGTTTGCGCGTTTGCGTGTGTGTGTACGAACTTGAATGAGCTGTTGATGCGCCACATTGCCACAGTAAAATGTCTGCTGGTTGTCCACAAAGCCAGGAAGTTCGGTCTCCTCGACTTCCTCGCCACTCAGCATCAACACTCTGGGGGAAAGCACACTCTTAAGATAAGATAAAGGCATTCAGAAGTGATGCTACACTTATCTGGCAGGCTGCACGACAAACACTCACCGTGTTTGACCCACGAAAGAGAGCACCAGCATGTCATCTGTCTCTCTGCCTGCCTCAGAGCGGAGCGGCCACAAACCTTGAAGGGGAATTCAAGAGGGGACGTTAAAAAGTTACTTTCTGAAACACTCTACAGAGCAGGAGAAATACAATATATAGACAGTACCCATGCCGATCTTTAAGTATTCCATCTGTCAAATGTTGACATTTTGTAAGATGTACAGGTTGCCGATCCCTCTCAGAGAGCCATTGATTTGCTAAGTGAATAATTGCCTCTCATCAAGAGGCCAAGGGAAAGAGGCAGCAGCTGAGACTTTTAGGGCAGAGATGGTCAATAAACAGCTGAAGCCTAACAAGTGCAAGCAGACCTAACCTGGCCTGTGTGTCTCATTTAAGCATCAGTGAACAGTCCTGGGAGAGGAACCTAATTTCCTGAGATTAAGAGGTGTCTGCCATTGTTAAACCTGATGGGATTCTTCAATTTGACAGTTAACTATCGCAGACATAGCAGTGCTCATTGGTTTGCTAAATGAAAACAAATGTTTCCAACCACAACCTTGGCAATTCTCCTGTTCTTTTGAAAGTACCAAGCTAGGTCCTATGACATCTGAGCCATCTGCTCACACTCACATGGAAGAGCAACAGCTGGCGTCTTGGCAAGGCCAGGCAAACAGATGTGCAGGTTGAAGTGGCTCTACTGTCAAGTCAGTGAAGAATTAAGCTCCAGATAAAGTCAAGACGAGAGGGAGGTGGTGGAAAAAATTACAGACACACACAAACCTTTGATTCCCGGGAGGTCAATGCTGGCATGCTCATGAATCCCAATGCCGTTGCGAATGATCCGAAGAGAGCCCTCCTTGAATGCACCTGAGCATGTCACCAGCTGAAAGCAACACAAAAAAATACATAAAGACATGGACTGAGATATGAGGGATGCATTCATTTCCCCCTTTTTGGGTTGATTCTGTTATTAGGTATTTTTGTTCCCCAATTCTGTTATTTTTACTATTTACTCCTAAACAGTATCTTAGTAACAACAGTAGCCCTCAAGAACTGGTGCTCATTAATGCTCACAGTTCTCAAGTAGGTGTAAATGTCACACAAAGTACAAGTTATGGTAGAAGTAGTGGCAGGAGTCCGTGTTATAGCAGTAGCATATAGTAGTGAAGGATTTCTGAAGCTTCTCTCAGATTGCCAGTTGTAACATGGCAACAGAGTTGAGATCCAACACCCTGGAGGTAAATAATTCTGGTGTCTGTACAGTCTGACTGGAGAGCATCAGAATATTATTCATTCATCCAGTCATGGTAGACTAACAGGATTAATACCAGAGCCCGTATAATCTCAGGCCCTACCACCTGCCACCCAACAGCTTCATCCTAATGGAAATAACCATTGTGAACCTGGCACCTCACCTAACTCCTCAGAGCTTATTCTAAAATGCTCACACACACTCGACGGGACTGACCCAATCCTGACAATCTGCACATGATATATTATGCTCCTGTATTAGTTATTTATGCAGGTTGTATCCTTCATAAACCTCAATGTGGTTTGTAGTTCTGTGAATACAATCATTTTTCAGCTTTGACTCTAAACTGTGCTGTAGTACTTTCCCCGTGTGACATCCAGCAAACTGTGCATCAATCCTCTACTGTCTTAACTGTCTTTGAATGTGTCCACACCAACTAACCAGGTCAAATGCTCTGTGGATTTACAGCAAATGGCAAATTCAAACAGTTGGGATTGGATTTAGTCCTGGGACTCAACAGACTGAAATGAGCTCGAGTGTATGTAGATGAATACAGTATGTGGCTGATTGTGTGCTGGTCTGTACCCAGAGAATGGCTGAGTGCTCTGGTGGACCGCTGCCTTTGGAACCACATCAAGTATCCTGAGGCCTGGAGTCAAACCCTGCCAACAAAACCTTCTGTACTGTATCCCTCTCGTTACTTCACTGTTTCATCTTCCTTTGCCTCACTGATTTCACGCAAGAAGGACAAATGCTCGAATCAAAAAATGTTTTTGCCAACTATATTTTGTGCATTAACGTGTCAAAGAATGTTCCAGAAACAAAACATATTAATTCAGCAGCAACTGGTTTCATTTAACATATAAAGAACTCATATTTTGATGGTACAGGAATAAAACATTCCTTCACTGGGTAGAAAAATGAAATTGTTGTCATTTAAACTTGACATTAATATGCAATACAGGTTATATTGCATTATGTTCAGAATACAAACTGTTTGACAACAGCTGAAGGTAAACAAACTTAAGTATACAGAAGTGCTAAAGATGATGGATTGTTAGGATAAACGCAGACAGGAAACAAGCGAGGCAAAGTCTTCACTGTCAGTTTTAAATGGTGTAAATATTATTAGAGGAAATAACATGCACAGCAATCTGCCTTTTTGCAATGGAACAAGAAAGACAATTTAAGTTTGTGTACCAGAGGTGCATATTAACATTGGGTGTGACTGCAGTCCAGATAAATCATATCTAGATGCAACTGAGATACCAAGCGCATGCTAATGCCAGGTGAATAGGGACAACAAGCAACAACAAAAAAATAGACTACACAAATAAAGAACACCCAGACTGCCTATAAAAAGGCACAGGAAGCCGCCATGTGTTTGATGTCAGCAAGAATCTCCTGAAAATTTGTCCCCGACTATTCTGGCCAGTGGCAGGTTTGTGCTGTAGTACGTTGAATGCTTAATTCTGCTGACAAAAAGACTGTTAACGCGACTCAAGAAGCCGGCTGCATTGGTTGTATAAGGCCAGATTCCCTGAAGGCTGTGACAAAGAGGATGATAAAGATGAAAACACAGATGAAGACTCACCATAAGCTATAAAGTGTTTCCATTGACTGTTAAGCAGGTTTTCAGTAATCACCATGTCATGTCTACATCCTCTGGCGAACGCAGAAGAAACCTTTTATCCCATCTGTATAATTTGCTTTCAATTTGTAACTGTGATATAACATGTGTCGTGTCTGTCCTGTTTTATTGGTGGCAAAAACTAAAAGATTTTTTACTTTTCACTGAAATAAAAAGGAATCAGCTTTTGTTTTTTTTACCTGACCCTGGCCTTGCCTCTCCAGATCTACCACACACATGTCCACAATGGGCCCCAGATTGGTGAATGTCTCCATCACTGCAACATATGAGCCCTGGTCATTGCTGTCCACGTTGAGCTGCAGAGACAAACAGAACAGAACCCTCTTTAGAAATCAGTGAATAAACAGGGGTGCAATCATCATTTCTGATGCCATGCAATTGCCGATTCTGTCAACGATTATCAAGAATAGAAGTTTAAGAAATCAAAATGCAAATGTAAAAGGTACTTCAAAAAGATGTCAAGATAATACAGTGCAAAGAACTCCATCTCACTTTATATAATGATTTTATTACTAACAGCAGAAGAATTTCACAGACTTTCAATGATTGCACAGGTTGTGAAACAGTTTCTTGCCGCTTACCTTCACTAGCTGGGAGTCGCCCAGCCTGGAGCCGACAAAGACCACACCGTTATCCAAGTAGGTCAGACACTCAGCAATGGATGTCTGTCATTGGAGACACAAAAACAGCTGAAGGCCACATCCACACTAGAGCTGCAACTGATGATTATATCATTTTTTAGCAATGCTAGCAGCACGGTTACAGGGATGACAATATTAATGTGTCAGTCTGCCCACCACGTTAATGCATCCTGCTAACTTTGATGATGCCTAAGTACAGCTTCACAGAGCTGCTAGCATGGCTATAGACTAGTTTTGTTGATCAATATGCTAATTATTTTCTCGATTCATCATTTTGCCTCTAAAATATTAGAACGTAGTGAACAATTCCCCAGAACTGAAGCGAATATCTTCAAATTGCTTGTTTTGTCCAACCAGTACTCCAAAAGAAAGATATTCAGTTTACTATTACATCAATTATTAATTAAATAATATAATTATATAATATTATAAGTCATCTGAATAATAATACCAAATCTTTTTACATCATAATTTTTATTTTTACTGTTGGTCAAACAAAATGAGCAATTACGAGGCATCACTTTAGGCTTTGGTGGTTCAGATGGGAAATTGTTATTATTTTTGACCTTTTACATAGAAAACCATTGATAACAAAAAAATAATTGGCAGATTATTTGATAATGAAAATAATTATTTGCAGCCCAACTTGTGCAATTGTCAGACAGCAACAACAGAAAGCTATTTCTGCTATACTGAAACACAAACTAAGTCATAATAATGATGGCAGATAAGCAATTCTGTTGTTTACCAAATGAAAGAGAATGAAGATGACAAAAAGTAACTTTCCTATTGTTTTAAATTAAATTAAAATTTGCTTTTTCAAAGTAATGTATAAACAAACAGAACTCTGTCACGTAATTGATGTTTTCAAATTTAGCCTGACGTGAACATGGTTTTCACACTCCTTTTTCATAGCTGCCATTTTGACATGAAATAGTAGGGTAAACATAGGTGTTACCAATGATACTGATTAAGGTTCAGCTCAAGAAACATTGAATCTTAATTAGTGTCATTGGTAATACC